CCATGACACTACCACCACCATGATCACTGATGAGGTGGTATGCTGAGGATCATGAGCAGTTCCTTCTCCATACTCTTCTCTTCCCATCACTCTGGTACAAGTTGATGTCGGTCTCATCTGTCCATAGGATGTTGTTCCAGAACTGTGAAGGCTTTTTTACATGTCGTTTGGCAAACTCTAATCTGGCCTTCCTGTGTTTGAGGCTCACCAATGGTTTCCATCTTGTGGTGAACCCTCTGTATTCACTCTGGTGAAGTCTTCTCTTGATTGGTGACTTTGACACACATACACCTACCTCCTGGAGAGTGTTCTTGATCGGGCCAACTGTTGTGAAGGGTGTTTTCTTCACCAGGGAAAGAATTCTTCGCTCATCCACCCACAGTTGTTTTCCGTGGTCTTCCGGGTCTTTTGGTGTTGCTGAGCTCACCGGTGCGTTCCTTCTTTTTAAGAATGTTCCAAACAGTTGTTTTGGCCGCCTAATGTTTTTGCTATCTCTCTGATGGGTTTGTTTTGTTTTTTTCAGCCTAATGATGGCTTCACTGATAGTGACAGCTCTTTGGATCTCATCTTGAGAGTTGACAGCAACAGATTCCAAATGCAAATAGCACACTTGAAATGAACTCTGGACCTTTTATCTGCTCATTGTAATTGGGATAATGAGGGAATAACACACACCTGGCCATGGAACAGCTGAGAAGCCAATTGTCCCATTACTTTTGGTCCCTTAACAAGTGGGAGGCACATATGCAAACTGTTGTCATTCCTACACCGTTCACCTGATTTGGATGTAAATACCCTCAAATTAAAGCTGACAGTCTGCAGGTAAAGCACATCTTGTTCGTTTCATTTCAAATCCATTGTGGTGTATAGAGCCAAAAATGTTAGAATTGTGTCCATGTCCCAATATTTATGGACCTGACTGTAGATACAGTATACAGAGTATATAGACCCTAGTATATAGTATATAGATACAGTATATAGGCCTAGTATATAGATATATATAGTGTATAAGATACCCAGTATATAGGATAGTATATAGTGTATAGACCCAGTATATAGATATAGTATATAGACCTAGTATATAGATACAGTATATAGGTCTAGTATATAGATACAGTATATAGGTCTAGTATATAGATATAGTATATAGGTCTAGTAGTATATAGATACAGTATATAGGTCTAGTATATAGATACAGTATATAGGTCTAGTATATAGATATAGTATATAGGCCTAGTATATAGATATAGTATATAGGCCTAGTATATAGATACAGTATATAGGTCTAGTATATAGATACAGTATATAGGTCTAGTACAGTGGTGGGCAACCTTTTTTTTTCAACTGAGCCAAATCTCGCCAAAACCATATTGAATTTATTTTGAGAGACCACATTTATAAACTGAAAATACATCTCCCAGTATAGTAATTCATCCCCCATAGTAATTATCCCCCATATAGTAATTCATCCCCCATAGTGTAATTCATCCCCCATAGTAATAGATATAGTATATAGATCCCCCATATAGTAATTCATCCCCCATATAGTAATTCATCCCCCATAGTAATTCATCCCCCATATAGTATTCATCCCCCATAGCAATTCATCCCCCGTATAGTATTTCATCCCTCATATAGTATTTCATCCCCCATATAGTAATTCATCCCTCATATAGTATTTCATCCCTCATATAGTATTTCATCCCCTCATATAGTATTTCATCCCCCCATATAGTATTTCATCCCTCATATAGTATTTCATCCCCCCATATAGTATTTCATCCCTCATATAGTATTTCATCCCCCCATATAGTATTTCATCCCTCATATAGTAATTCATCCCTCATATAGTATTTCATCCCCCCATAGCCCCTTTGGTATTTCATCCCTCATATAGTAATTCATCCCTCATATAGTATTTCATCCCCCCATATAGTATTTCATCCCCCCATATAGTATTTCATCCTCATATAGTAATTCATCCCTCATATAGTATTTCATCCCCCCATATAGCCCTGTATTTCATCCCCCCAATGTAGTATTTCATCCCCCCATATAGTATTTCATCCCTCATATAGTATTTCATCCCTCATATAGTAATTCACCCTCATATAGTATTTCATCCCTCATATAGTATTTCAATCCCTCATATAGTATGGCCATCCCCCATAAGTAATTTCATCCCCCCATATAGTATTTCATCCCCTCATATAGTATTTCATCCCTCATATAGTAATTCATCCCTCATATAGTATTTCATCCCTCATACAGTATTTCATCCCCCCATAAGTATTTCATCCCTCATAAAGTAATTCATCCCTCATATAGTAATTCATCCCCCATATAGTATTTCATCCCTCATATAGTATTTCATCCCCCCATGACCTAGTATAAGTATTTCATCCCTCATATAGTAATTCATCCCCCCATATAGTATTTCATCCCCCCATATAGTATTTCAGACCCTCATATAGTAATTCATCCCTCATATAGTAATTCATCCCTCATATAGTATTTCATCCCTCATATAGTATTTCATCCCCCCATATAGTATTTCATCCCCCCATATAGTATTTCATCCCTCATAAAGTAATTCATCCCTCATATAGTATTTCATCCCCCACAGTACTATTCCCCCCCCCCCCCTTCTAGTAAGCCAAGTCCCCCGTGTCAATTCACTTACCTTTTGCGTTCCTCTCGCTGTCTTCCCGCGCCGTTCGGGTCTTCAGGGCGGACTGTGAGAGGAGCCTAGCTCCCCTCCCCTCACGTTCGGCACGCTGCCCCGCCTACACACATCCTGACAGCCACATCCGCAGGCTGGATTAAAAGGTCCGCGCGGACTTTTGGGGCTGCCAACCGAGAGGAGGCAGGGGAGCGGCCGACCGAGAGGAGGGAGGGGAGCAGGCGCCCGGCACACAGAAGAGCCGCATTAGACTGGGTAGTAAAGAGCCGCATGTGGCTCGCGAGCCGCGGCTTGCCGACCACTGGTCTAGTATATAGATACAGTATATAGGTCTAGTATATAGATACAGTATATAGGTCTAGTATATAGATATAGTATATAGGACCTAGTATATAGATATAGTATATAGACCTAGTATATAGATATATAGTATATAGGCCTAGTATATAGATACAGTATATAGGTCTAGTATATAGATACAGTATATAGGTCTAGTATATAGATACAGTATATAGGTCTAGTATATAGATATAGTATATAGACCTAGTATATAGATACAGTATATAGGTCTAGTATATAGATATAGTATATAGACCCCTAGTATATAGATATAGTATATAGATATAGTATATAGACCTAGTATATAGATATAGTATATAGGTCCAGTATATAGATATAGTATATAGGTCTAGTATATAGATACAGTATATAGGTCTAGTAAAAGATTTATATAGATACAGTATATAGGTCTAGTATATAGATATAGTATATAGACCTAGTATATAGATATAGTATATAGACCTAGTATATAGATAGAGTATATAGACCTAGTATATAGATATAGTATATAGGCCTAGTATATAGATATAGTATATAGGTCCAGTATATAGTGTGGGAACTCGCTTCAAAGTGGTAGAGCTTTTAAACGCACACAGCTACTCGCTTTCTTTTTCAGGGCCTTTTTAGCCCACTTTTATTTAAATGAAACAGTTCAATAACATAAGAGGTTCCCACGCAGGGGTATCCACCATCACACAAAACAAAACTCAGCCTCCTGGCTTATACTCCGCTTGATGTCTGCCTCCTGCAGACTTCTTCAAGACACGGCTCTTGCACACCGCTGGCCACTAGCACACAGCTAGTCTCTAGCAGCCCCTTGCTGCTTTTGGCTTCCACCTCCCCTAGGTGAAGCCCACCTGACTCCTAGCTGCCGGGGTGGAGCCCTGCTGACTCCTAGCTGCCAGGGGGGGTGGAGCCCTGCTGACTCCTAGCTGCCGGGGTGGAGCCCTGTTGACTCCTAGCTGCCGGGGTGGAGCCCAGAACCCTGGTCCTGACCCTACAAAAGAGCCGCGCACACCTGTGCAATCAGTGTAATGGCCATTCCCAAAACCTGGTCCCAGGATTGGAGATTTCATCCCTCCCAGATCTCTTAAAAAATCTCCAGGCTCCAGATCCCAAAACAGACCTTACAAACAAAGGAGGAAAGTGAAAAGCCACTTTCCTCCGTATCAAACACTTACCCTGGAGCCCCTCAACCTGCCTTGTTGAGAATCCAGGGTGACAGATCACCACACTGTCACAATAGATACAGTATATAGACCCAGTATATAGATATAGTATATAGATACAGTATATAGACCCAGTATATAGATATAGTATATAGACCTAGTATATAGATATAGTATATAGACCCAGTATATAGATATAGTATATAGGCCTAGTATATAGACCTAGTATATAGATACAGTATATAGACCCAGTATATAGATATAGTATATAGGCCTAGTATATAGATACAGTATATATATAGATATAGTATATAGACCCAGTATATAGGCCTAGTATATAGATACAGTATATAGACCCAGTATATAGATAGAGTATATAGGCCTAGTATATAGATAGAGTATATAGACCTAGTATATAGATAGAGTATATAGGCCTAGTATATAGATAGAGTATATAGGTCTAGTATATAGATACAGTATATAGGCCTAGTATATAGATACAGTATATAGGTCTAGTATATAGATATAGATATATTTTTCCTAACGTTGCGCTTTGCTTCCACTTTCCCGCGGTCTCCAATCTATGTAACCAAATGGCACAAGTTTGCCGAAAACCTCCTAATTTTCGCAGCAATTTTGGTGAAGTGAAAATCCCGAATTTCACTCATCCCAACGAACAAACACATTCTGCAGTAACCGCGGCGGGATTCCTGAATACGATCGATGGAACTACACAGACATTCCTACCGACAAATTCCGCCGCCTGACCCGCGTCGGCTGAAACAAAGACATTTAAAGGGGCCACCTACTGATTTTCCTCTTGAGGTTTCCATTGCTGATCGGCGCGGTTTTCGGCTCTGCGAGTTTTGCGCTTTTCCCTTTGGAGGAGAGCTGAGAAGTCATAAACATTGGTCAGAAAATGTTATTAGACCCAATTCTAAGAAAAATGTATTTTGCAGCAAGACAGCCGAGCGAGATGGAGCAATGATATACAGAAGCAGACAACGATTATTAATTCATGTCTCATTTTACCGAAATTTTACCAAAATCATTTCACATATTTTTCATCTGTTGGGGGGGAGGGGTGCTTGAGGATGGAGGTTGGGAACCCCTGAAATACAGAATTCACCATCACCCTCCTGTGTTGGGATACTGCAAGCCTAAGCCCTCGCAGTGGGGTCCCTAGGCAGGTGCGGGGGGTGCGCGCCGCGCCGGGTGACACCTATCACACGGGGTGACACCAGACCGGCTCCACGAAAAGGTGAATTTTAAAGCAAGCCGACGATCCCCGCAGGATGGATCGGATCTGTGGATTCAGCATAAAGGATCAGAGCAGGGGCGGACTGACCATTGGAGCACTCAGGCACTGCCCGAGGGCCCGGGGTCAGTAGGGGGCCCCATGAAATGTCCCTGGTACCTATTATAGGCTTTATTCAGTGTGCTTTGAGTGTGGGCGAGGACACAGGGGCCCCATGATCCCCTATTGCCCGGGGGCCCCATGAGTTGTCAGTCCGCCCCTGGATCGGAGTCCGATCCATTCTGCTCCCCAATCCGCAGATCTGATCCATCCTGCGGGGATCGTCGGCTTTCTTTAAAACTTACCTCTGCGTGGAGACATCAGTTAACCCCGTATTGGTTACAAGCCGACAATCCCCGCAGGATGGATGGGATCTGCGGATTGGGGAGCATAATGGATCAGTCTCCGATCCATTATACTCAATCCGCAGTTCCGATCCATCCTGCGGGGATCGTCAGAGGGGTGACACCAAGTGTTACAGCACCGGGTGACACCAACCATAGGGACACCCCTGAGCCCTCGTTCACACTGATGCGACTTGTCATGTGAATTGACCATTCAAATCGCATCAAAAATGGAACTGTTCTAATTGGTGCGACTCCAACTGTGTCAAAGTCACCCGGATGGGAAAAGTAGTTCCTGCGCAGGGACGGACTGACCATTTGGGAACCCAAGCACTGCCCGAGGGCCCGGGGTCAGTAGGGGTCCCCATGAGCTGCCCCTGGTACCTTTCATAGGCTTTTTTGGGTGTGGTTTGAGTGTGGGCGAGAATACAGGGGCCCCATGATCCCCTACTGCCTGGGGGCCCCATGAGTTGTCAGTCCGCCCCTGTTCCTGCGCTGCTTCTTCCGATTTGGGGTGCGACTTGCTTAGACATCTGTGTATGAAGTCGCACTGCCACCCAACAGTCGCAAGTGAAGTTGCACGATCCAGTGTGAACCAAGTGTAAAAGGATAACTGGGGGCCACAGACTGGGCTGGGGTGAATATGGGGAAAACCTCGATTCATTTTGGTCGAATCCTTGCAATTCGAACAGATTTCCTCTCCAAAGATATTTACTAATAAAAAATTAAACAATACAAAAAACTTTATTTAATCAGATCCATTATTGTCTTATTATTTTATATCTATTTTTTTCTGATTTTCTTGTGTTTTTTTTTACAGAAATTGGATTTTATTTGGCCCTCCTAAGGCCCCACTCACATTTGGCTATTGGGAATTGCGGCCGAATCGCCGCAATTCAGCCCGCAATCTCCAAATCGCGGCAAAACGTACATTGCACATTTGCAATTTTGCTGTGATGGTTGCACATCAAAACGCGTGTAAAAATTCCTCTGTGATCAAGCCCCCCGGTGGGCGGGGCGAAACACGTCAGAGGGCGTGGCCGGCGTGATGGCTGAGGCCATCCTCTATACATGGGACTGCACAGGTGGTGAGAGCGGCGTCTCTTCTTCTCCTCTGGACTGACACTTGGGCACCGCTCCCCTGCACCTGCTGGTGAGGTGATTTCTCTGATACTCAGATTTCTGAGCAGCGCCATGACGTCTCATGCTTTAGTACTTAAAAACTTGCCTGGTTCAGTGGCAAAATGTGGTCCCTCGGCTTCTTTGGTGTGACAAATGTGGACAAGGCAGTCCATTCAAGTGCATAGGTTGCCCAATGCTCAACACATGTAGATAGCAGGAAGCTATATGCCTGCCCAACACACGTAGCTAGCGGGCACCCATGTCTCTGCTCAACAAACGAAGCTAAACAGGAACCCATGTTTCTGTTCAACACATGTAGGTAGTGGGAACCCATTTTCCTGTCTGAACACATGTAGCTAGCGGGCACCCATGTTCCTGCTCAACACACGTAGCTAGCGGGAACCCATCTTCCTGCTCAACACACATAGCTAGTGGGAAGCCATATTCCTGCTCAACACATGTAGTTAGCAGGCACCCATGTTCTTGCTCAACACATGTAGCTAGCGGGCACCCATGTTCCTGCTCAACACATGTAGTTAGAAGGCACCCATGTTCCTGCTCAACACATGTAGTTACAGGCACCCATGTTCCTGCTCAACACATGTAGTTAGAAGGCACCCATGTTCCTGCTCAACACACGTAGCTAGCGGGCACCCATGTTCCTGCTCAACACACGTAGCTAGTGGGCACCCATGTTCCTGCTCAACACACGTAGCTAGTGGGAACCCATGTTCCTGCTCAACACACGTAGCTAGCGGGAACCCATGTCTCTGCTCAACACACGTAGCTAGCGGGCACCCATGTTCCTGCTCAACACACGTAGCTAGCGGGCACCTATGTTCCTGCTCAACACACGTAGCTAGCGGGAACCCATGTTTCTGCTCAACACACGTAGCTAGCGGGAAGCCATGTTCCTGCTCAACACACGTAGCTAGCAGGAAGCCATGTTCCTGCTCAACACACATAGCTAGCGGGAACCCATGTCTCTGCTTAACACACGTAGCTAGCGGGAAGCCATGTTCCTGCTCAACACACGTAGCTAGCGGGCACCCATGTTCCTGCTCAACACACGTAGCTAGCGGGAAGCCATGTTTCTGCTCAACACACGTAGCTAGCGGGAAGCCATGTTCCTGCTGAACACACGTAGCTAGCGGGAACCCATGTTTCTGCTCAACACATGTAGCTAGCGGGAAGCCATGTTCCTGCTCAACACACATAGCTAGCGGGAACCCATGTCTCTGCTCAACACACGTAGCTAGCGGGAACCCATGTCTCTGCTCAACACACGTAGCTAGCGGGCACCCATGTCTCTGCTCAACACACGTCGCTAGCGGGCACCCATGTTTCTGCTCAACACATGTAGCTAGCGGGAAGCCATGTTCCTGCTCAACACACATAGCTAGCGGGAACCCATGTCTCTGCTCAACACACGTAGCTAGCGGGAACCCATGTCTCTGCTCAACAACACACGTAGCTAGCGGGCACCCATGTCTCTGCTCAACACACGTCGCTAGCGGGCACCCATGTTCCTGCTCAACACACGTAGCTAGCGGGCACCCATGTTCCTGCTCAACACACGTAGCTAAGTGATACGTGATCAGGGACCCAAGAAGAAGATGAATAAGTCGGCCCTCTAAATGGTATAATTTGACACAATGCAACTTTCTACTCAGAAAACCGTTTTTCATTTCCGGTTTTGTACATCTGAGATTTACCTTGAAGAGAATATAGAGGATGTACAGCAGGATCCCGAATCCATAGATGGGAATAATCTGCCCCACCAGGCTTTGTCTTCCGCTGCTCCCTCCGCCCCCTCCGGTCTTGGTCTTGGACACAGACTCGGACAGGTGGGACCTTGGAAAAAAAGTGCCGGGATTTCTGCTGTCCGATGACTTGCCATGAGGAACGGATGACGGGAACCGACCGGGACCTCCTGAAAAAAAGGGCAAGACCTTCAGGCAACGAATATTATTTCTAGATAAATCCGGGCGAATGCAACGCAACATAATGAACGTGTGAACCAGGGGTGGACTGACAACTCATGGGGCCCCTGGGCAATAGGGGATCATGGGGCCCCTGTGTCCTCACCCACACCCAAAAAAGCCTATGAAAGGTACCAGGGGCATCTCATGGGGCCCCCTACTGACCCCGGACCCTCAGGCAGTGCCCGAGTTTCCAAATGGTCAGTCCGCCCCTGGTGTGAACTAATGCAAAGCAAGGCAATGAATGTAACAAACATTATTTCTAGCTAATCTCTAGGGGAATGCAACGCAAACTCAACAAAACGCATCAACTAACCCAGTGCAATGCAACAAACACAACCAATATGATTTCTAGCTAAATTTCAGGGAGATATAAAAATAAAAATTTAATTTGTACATTTGGAATTGTCTTTTTAAGCCTCCTCTTGGGAGGAGTTATGCAAATATCAAAATGCCTTGATGGGTGGGTCTCTGGTTTGTATTGGAGAACGTACTGGACTGACTGGATCAGTCAATAGTTGTAGGTGGGTGATTGTGTGGGCATAAAGGAAGAAGGCCCTTCCAGTAGGTACCAGTCGTGAACCATAAACCAGGTGGAGACAGAAAGTTCAGTTAAAAATCACACCTTTAATGAAACAGCAAAAATAACAGTTCAGAAACGTAGTCAAAAAACAGAAGCCAGGGTTTGGATGCCAGAGCGGGTAATCAGATGAACCAGGGTCAGGAAACCAGAAGTCAGTGTAGTCAGGAGCCAAAAATCAGGAACAGGAACCAGAATTGTCTTTTTTAGCCTCCTCTTGGGAGGAGTTATGCAAATATCAAAATGCCTTGATGGGTAGGTCTCTGGTTTGTGTTGGAGATCGTGCTTGACTGACTGGATCAGTCAATAGTTGTAGGTGGGTGATTGTGTGGGCATAGAGGAAGAAGTTCCTTCCAGTAGGTATCGTAAAGCTAGCAGCCCAAGACTGAATGGTGGTAGAGGACTCTTGGACTGCTTCCTTTCCTATATGGCCTTATGGTCGTTTCAGTGAGAAGTCTTGGGTAGGAGAGTGTCAGGAACCATAAACCAGATGGAGACAGAAAGTTCAGTTAAAATCACACCTTTAATGAAACAGCAAAAATAACAGTTCAGGAATGTAGTCAAAAACAGAAGCCAGGGTTTGGATGCCAGAGCGGGTAATCAGATGAACCAGGGTCAGGAAACCAGAAGTCAGTGTAGTCAGGAGTCAAAAATTAGGAACAGGAACCAGAATTGTCTTTTTTAGTCTCCTGTTGGGAGGAGTTATGCAAATATCAAAATGCCTTGATGGGTGGGTCTCTGGTTTGTGTTGGAGGACGTACTGGACTGACTGGATCAGTCTATAGTTGTAGGTGGGTGATTGTGTGGGCATAGAGGAAGAAGTCCCTTCCAGTTGGTATTGGAAGGTAGCAGCCCAAGGCTGAATGGTGGTAGAGGACTCTTGGACTGCTTCCTTTCCTATATGGCCTTATGGTCGTTTCAGTGAGAAGTCTTAGGTAGGAGAGTGTCAGGAACCATAAACCAGAAAGTTCAGTTAAAATCACACCTTTAATGAAACAGCAAAAATAACAGTTCAGGAACGTCGTCATAAACAGAAGCCAGTGTTTGGATGCCAGAGCGGGTAATCAGATGAACCAGGGTCAGGAAACCAGAAGTCAGTGTAGTCAGGAGCCAAAAATCAGGAACAGGAATCAGAAGGGAAGTCATCCAGACAGAGAATACACAGAAACACAGGAGGGAACACACTGGAGATCACAGACCATGCCAGGGCATCATGACTTGATGGGTGGGTTTCTGGTTTGTGTTGGAGATCATGCTTGACTGACTGGATCAGTCTATAGTTGTAGGTGGGTGATTGTGTGGGCATAGAGGAAGAAGTCCCTTCCAGTAGGTATTGGAAAGCTAGCAGCCCAAAATGGAATGGTGGTAGAGGACTCTTGGGATGCTTCCTTTCCTATATGGCCTTATGGTCGTTTCAGTGAGAAGTCTTGGGTAGGAGAGTGTCAGAAACCATAAACCAGAAAGTGCAGTTAAAAATCACACCTTTAATGAAACAGCAAAAATAACAGTTCAGGAACGTAGTCATAAACAGAAGCCAGGGTTTGGATGCCAGAGCGGGTAATCAGATGAACCAGGGTCAGGAAACCAGAAGTCAGTATAGTCAGGAGCCAAAAATCAGGAACAGGAACCAGAATTGTCTTTTTTAGCCTCCTCTTGGGAGGAGTTATGCAAATATCAAAATTCCCCCACGCTCCCGCTGAAATAAAGCCCCGCTCTCATGAACCATACTTCAAAATTGTAATTTTCTAGTCACCGGGTGCTTCTTCTTTCCTTACCAAGACTTCTTGATGGGTGGGTGTCAGTCTGGAGGAGTGGGAGTTCTTAGGCAGGCTGTATTTGCATGAAGACCACCCTAGGCAACACTGAGCCTCCATGATTGTCAAAACTGAAACGATTGGACCGACCGAGAACAGTCAAGCTGGGTAGGAAAGATCTAGATGATGCTGGTTGTCCTCCAGCGAGGAAATGAGGAGGAGCTCTACCTGACTGGCTGAAGTTTCTAATGCACATTGTGAAATCAGAGTAGGCCATTTCAGACCAGGAGAGGAGCCGGTACACCTGTGCAAGATGGAAGGGAGGAGTCAGTACAACTGTGCAAGACTGAAGGGGAGGAGCCGGTATACCTGTGCAAGACTGGAGGGGAGGAGCCGGTACATCTGTGCAAGACTGGAAGGGAGGAGCCAGTACACCTGTGCAAGACTGAAAGGGAGGAGCAGGTACATCTGTGCAAGACTGGAGGGGAGGAGCCAGTACACCTGTGCAAGACTGAAGGGGAGGAGCCAATACATCTGTGCAAGACTGGAGGGGAGGAGCCAGTACACCTGTGCAAGACTGAAGGGGAGTAGCCGGTACACCTGTGCAAGACTGAAAGGGAGGAGCCGGTACATCTGTGCAAGACTGGAGGGGAGGAGCCAGTACACCTGTGCAAGACTGGAGGGCAGGAGCCGCTACACCTGTGCAAGACTGGAGGGGAGGAGCCAGTACACCTGTGCAAGACTGGAGGGGAGGAGGCGGTACACCTGTGCAAGACTGAAGGGGAGGAGCTGGTACATCTGTGCAAGACTGGAGGGGAGGAGTCAGTACACCTGTGCAAGACTGGAGGGGAGAAGCCGGTACACCTGTGCAAGACTGAAGGGGAGGAGCCGGTACACCTGTGCAAGACTGAAGGGGAGGAGCCGGTACATCTGTGCAAGACTGGAGGGGAGGAACCTGTACACCTGTGCAAGACTGAAGGGGAGGAGCCGGTAAACCTGTGCAAGACTGAAGGGGAGGAGCCGGTACACCTGTGCAAGACTGAAGGAGGAGGTGCCGGTACACCTGTGCAAGACTGAAGGAGGAGGTGCCGGTACACCTGTGCAAGACTGAAAGGGAGGAGGCGGTACACCTGTGCAAGACTGGAGGGGAGGAACCTGTACACCTGTGCAAGACTGAAGGGGAGGGGCCGGTACACCTGTGCAAGACTGAAAGGGAGGAGCCGGTACATCTGTGCAAGACTGGAGGGGAGGAGCCGGAACACCTGTGCAAGACTGGAGGGCAGGAGCCGGTACATCTGTGCAAGACTGGAGGGGAGGAGCCGGTACACCTGTGCAAGACGGGAGGGAGGAGCCGATACACCTGTGCAAGACTGGAGGGGAGGAGCCGGTACATCTGTGCAAGATTGGAGGGGAGGAGCCGGTACACCTGTGCAAGACTGGAGGGGAGGAGCCGATACACCTGTGCAAGACTGGAGGGGAGGAGCCGATACACCTGTGCAAGACTGAAGGGGAGGAGCCAGTACACCTGTGCAAGACTGAAGGGGAGGAGCCGGTACGCCTGTGCAAGACTGGAGGGGAGGAGCCGATACACCTGTGCAAGACTGGAGGGGAGGAGCCGGTACACCTGTGCAAGACTGGAGGGGAGGAGCCGATACACCTGTGCAAGACTGAAGGGGAGGAGCCAGTACACCTGTGCAAGACTGAAGGGGAGGAGCCTGTACACCTGTGCAAGACTGAAGGGGGAGGCCGGAAGTCATATTGGAAAGCTCCGTATACAAAAGGGAAACGCCTCCTTTGACTTGTCCTTGAGTCAGCTTTGAAAATCTCACCCCAAAACTTAATTCCAACTTCTGAGTCCAGACAAAGCCGGAACACTTGTTTTCTTCAATTTTGAAAGTTATGAACATTGTCGAAGGGCCCCGAGGTTGAAGGGAGCCATTTGCTGGACGTCTAACAAACATTCCGGGATTGAATTGTATTTGAGGTTGACAAAAGGCGAGACTATCACCGACCTGTCATCCATGATGGATTGCAGCACGCTATGCTTAGGAAATAGAGTGTGGAACAATGCGTCGGAACACGCTGTAATCTTTAATTAAACGTCAATTCCTATGATGGGCAATGCCAGTGGAAGGGCCAGGTCACTGCCGCTTGATTGGGGAATGTCGCTGGATGTTGGAAGGGACCGGAGCAATCAAATATTAATTCCTGTACTGACAGACAATCTACATCAAGGCCGGCTGGACTTTCCAGGGTGAACACTTCATCATTCCGGGAAACGCGTTCATCGAAGGTTCCTGCAACTCAACATCACGCAAAAGACGAGATATCACTTCCATCCAAAGTTACATTGTTCCTTTCTAAAGCAATAATACAATGAGCATGTATATACAATTACATATACAATGATGGTTGCCCCGAATGGACCTGGCTGGGGGCGGGGGGATACAATACTCCTTCACTGGGGCCCAAACCAACAATGGAGGGTAAAGGCCAGCTGAAGAAAACAAACAGAAACTTGTGCCAAGCACTTCACTCTCTAGACCAGGGGTCTCCAGACTTTCTATGCAAAGGGCCAGGTTGCTGTTGTTCAGGCTTTAGGGACCCGAACTGTGGTCAGTTGGAGTAGTAAATGCCCTGGCAACAGTGCGCCCCATCATTGGTTGTAATGGGAGGAATAGTGCCCCATTGTTGATATCAACGAGAAGTACCCCCCCGTTGATGGTGTCAGTAGGGGAAATGGTGCTCCACCATTTCAATTCAGCTCCAAGGGCCAGATAAAGGCAAGGAAAGGGCCGCATCCGACCTTCGGGCCACAGTTTGGAGACCACTGCTTTAGACGTATTATGTTCAAAGAGCTGAAGTGGCTATTATGGGAATTATGACTATTGTTTGGTTCAGGGCAGAAGATATGGGTTACAATAACACCTTAGGGCAAGGCTTAAGCTGACCATACACTTTGTAATCTGATTGTGCAATGTGTATAGAGATTTTCTATTCAATCTCCTTTAGATCTATCAAAACAATGCAGTCAAAGCCCAAACTAAACAATCCACACAGGTAGGCTCTACTGCATCTTTAATTTTGGTAGGACTAAAGGAGATTGTTCTATAAGAGTGCAAGAGGTATGGTCAGCTTTAAGGTTTGGAGTTAGGATGCAGGTTAGTTAGTTCGAGGTTGAAGGCTGGGTTTTAGGTTACAAGTTAGGTTCAATGAACATTAGGTGTTAGGTTGAGGATTATGAGATAGGTTGAAGTTTTGGAGTTAGGTGAAGGTAAAGGAGTTAGGTTAAAGGTTGATTGAAAGGATTGAAGGTTATACAGTATTTGAGTTTGAGTGTTAAGGAGTAAAATTAAATATTATGTTGAAGTTTCAGAGGTAAGTTGAAGGCAAAGGAGTTGGATTAAAGGCTACTGAGAAGGAAAAAAGGATGGAGGTTAGGTTGAAGTTGAAGGAGCTAGGTTGAGGGTTAGGTGTTAGGCTGAGGGTTAAGGAGCTAGGTTGAGGGTTTGGTGTTAGGTTGAAGGTGAAGGAGCTAGGTTGAGGTTTATGGAGTTCGGTAGAGGTGAAAGAGCTAGGTAGAGGGTTAGGTGTTAGGTCAAGGATTAGGGAGTTAGGTTGAGGGTTAAGGAGTTAGGTTGAAGGTGAAGGAGCTAGGTTGACAATTAGGTGTTAGGTTGAGGGTGACGGAGCTAGGTTGAGGGTTAGGTGTTAGGTTGAGGGTGAAGGAGCAAGGTTGAGGTTTATGGAGTTAGGTTGAGGTGAAAGAGCTAGGTAGAGGGTTAGGTGTTAGTTCAAGGATTAGGGAATTAGGTTGAGGGTTAAGGAGTTAAGCTGAAGGTAAAAGAGCTAGGTTGAGAGTTAGGTGTTAGGTTGAGGGTGAAAGAGCTACATTGAGGGTTAAGTAGTCAGGTTGAGGTTTTGGAGTTACTGTACATTTACAGTTAAGGAGTTAGGTTGTAGGTTAGTTAGTTTGAGGTCTAAGGCTGGGTTCTAGGTCACAAGTTAGGTTTAAGGTTAATGAAAACGACTGAAGGTTAGGTGTTGAGGGTTATGAGATAGTTTGAAGTTTTGGAGTTAGGTTGAAGGTAAAAGAGTTAGGTTAAACGTTGATTGGAAGAATTCAAGGTTACATGTTAGGTTCAATGATAAGGAGTGAAGTTGAACATTATGTTGACATTTAGGAGGTAAGTTGAAGGCAAAGGAGTTAGGTTAGGCTACTGAGAAAGAAAAAACGTTTGAGGTTAGGTAACAGTTGAAGAAGCGAGATTGAGGGTTAGGTGTTAGGTCAAGGATTAGGGAGTTAGGTTGAGGGTTAAGGAGTTAGATTGAGGGTGAAGGAGTTAGGTTGAGGGTTAGGTGTTAGGTTGAGGATTAAGGAGTTAGGTTGAGGGTTAAGGAGTTAATTTGAAAGTGAAGGAGATAGGTTGAGGGTTAGGTGTTAAGTTGAGGGTAGTAAAGTTAAAGGAGTAAAGTTAAATATTATGTTGAAGTTTCGGAGGTAATTTGAAGGCAAAGGAGTTGGATTAAAGGCTACTGAGAAGGAAAAAAGGATTGAGGTTAGGTTGAAGTTGAAGGAGCTAGGTTGAGGGTTAGGTGTTAGGTTGAAGGTGAATGAGCTAGGTAGAGGGTCAGGTGTTAGGTCAAGGATTAGGGAGAGTTAGGTTGAGGGTTAAGGAGTTAGGTTGAAGGTGAAGGAGCTAGGTTGAGGGTTAGGTGTTAGGTTGAAGGTGAATGAGCTAGGTAGAGGGTCAGGTGTTAGGTCAAGGATTAGGGAGTTAGGTTGAGGGTTAAGGAGTTAGATCGAAGTTTTGGAGTTACTGTAAGTTTATGGTAAAGGAGTTAGGTTGTAGTTTAGTTAGTTTGAGGTCTAAGGCTGGGTTCCAGGTTACAAGTTAGGTTTAAGGTTAATGAGAATGACTGAAGGTTAGGTGTTGAGGTTTATGAGATAGTTTGAAGTTTTGGAGTTAGGTTGAAGGTAAAGGAGTTAGGTTAAACGATTGGAAGGATTCAAGGTTACATGTTAGGTTCAATGATAAGGAGTAAAGTTGAATATTATGTTGAAGGTAAGTTGAAGACAAAGGAGTTAGGTTGAAGGCTACTGAGAAAGAAAAAACATTTGAGGTGAGGTAGAAGTTGAAGGAGCGAGATTGAGGGTTAGGTGTTAGATTGAGGGTTAAGGAGTTAGGTTGAAGGTGAAGGAGTTAAGTTGAGGATTAGCTGTTAGGTTGAGAATTAAGGAGTTAGGTTGAGGGTTAAGGAGTTAGTTTGAAGGTGAAGGAGATAGGTTGAGGGTTAGGTGTTAAGTTGAGGGTAGTAAAGTTAAAAGAGTAAAGTTAAAAATTATGTTGAAGTTTCGGAGGTAATTTGAAGGCAAAGGAGTTGGATTAAAGGCTACTGAGAAGGAAAAAAGGATTGAGGTTAGGTTGAAGTTGAAGGAGCTAGGTTGAGGGCAGGGGTGGACTGACCATTTGGAAACTCGGGCACTGCCTGAGGGCCCGGGGTCAGTAGGGGGCCCCATGAGATGCCCCTGGTACCTTTTTCTTAGGCTTTTTTGAGTTTGGCCAAGGACACAGGGGCCCCATGATTCCCTATTGCCCGGGGGCCCCATGAGTTGTCAGTCCACCCCTTGTTGAGGGTTAGGTGTTAGGTTGAGGGTTAAGGAACTAGGTTGAGGGTTAGGTTGAAGGTGAATGAGCTAGGTTGAGGTTTATGGAGTTCGGTTGAGGTGAAAGAGCTAGGTAGAGGGTTAGGTGTTAGGTCAAGGATTAGGGAGTTAGGTTGAAGGTGAAGGAGCTAAGTGGAGAGTTAGGTGTTAGGCTGAAGGTGAAGGAGCTACAGTCAGGTCCATAAATATTGGGACATGGACACAATTCTAACATTTTTGGCTCTATACACCACAATGGAGCTGAAATGAAACGAACAAGTTATGCTTTAACTGCAGACTGTCAGCTTTAATTTGAGGGTATTTACATTTAAATCAGGTGAACGGTGTAGGAATGACAATAGTTTGCATATGTGCCTCCCACTTGTTAAGGGACCAAAAGTAATGGGACAGAATAATAATCATAAATCAAACTTTCACTTTTTAATACTTGGTTGCAAATCCTTTGCAGTCAATGACAGCCTGAAGTGTGGAACGCATAGACATCAGCAGACGCTGGGTGTCATCCCTGGTGATGCTCTGCCAGGCCTCTACTACAACTGTCTTCAGTTCCTGCTGGTTCTTGGGGCATTTTCCCTTCAGTTTTTCTTCAGCAAGTGAAATGCTCAATCGGATTCAGGTCAGGTGATTGGCCATTGCAGAACATTCCACTTCTTTGGTGTCTTTTGCAGTCTGCTTTGGGTCATTGTCCATCTGCACTGTGAAGCGTCCAATGAGTTGTGAAGCATTTGGCTGAATATGAGCCGATAATATTC